TAGAATGGAGAAAGTGAAGTTAAATAGAATGGAGAATAGAAAAACGATGGAGAAAAATCAATGAAACCAAAACTTGGTTCTTCAAACAAGATCAGCATAATTGACAATCTTTAACTAGATTGACTAAGAAAGAAAGAGAAGATTCCAATTACTACAACCAGAAATGAAAGAGAAGCCTTTACTACCAATTCTGCAAAGACAGTGATTATTACAGTACTAGGAATGATGGTATGCCAACAAATTGGATAACTAGGTGAAATGGACAAATTTCTAGAAACACAAAACCTGCTAAGATGGAATAATAAAGAAGTAGAAAATCTGAATAGACCTACAACCAGTAATGAAATTCAGTCAGTAGACGCACTGGACAAAACTCAACATTGTTTCTGATAAAAAAACACTCAAACTAGGAATAAAACAACCTCAACCTAATAAAGGCCATATGTGAAAAGCCCACAGCTAATTAACATCATACTCAATTGTGAAAGACTGAAAACTTTTCCTTTAAGGTCAAGAACAGGATGAGGATGCCTGCTTTTGCCACTTCTATTCAATGGAGTATTGGAAGTCCTGGCCAGAGGAATTAGGCAAGAAAAAAAAAAGCATCCAAATTGAAAAGAAGCAAAATTATCTTTGTTTACAGATGACATGAACATTTAAGTAGAAAACTCTAAAGATTCCACAAAAACACTGTAACAACTAATAAACAAATCCAGCAAAGTTGCAGGTAAAGAAAACATGCAAAAATCTGTTGTATTTTTGTATACTAACAATGAGCACTCCAAAAGTAATTTTTTTTTTTTTTTGAGACAGAGTCTGACTCTATTGCCCAGGCTAGAGTGCCTTGGCATCAGCCTAGCTCATAGCAACTTCAAACTCCTGACCTTAAGCAATCCTCCTGCCTCAGCCCCACAGAGTGCTAGGATTATAGGCATGAGCCACTGTGCCTGGCCCACAAGAAAATTAAGAAAAATATTCTATTTACAAGAACTTCAAAAAAATATTTAGGAATAAACTTAAAGAATGTAAATACTTGTACCCTGAAAACTACAAAACATTGCTGAAAAAAATTAAAGAAGGCATAAATAAGTGGAAAAGATGTCCTGTTTTCATGGACTGGAAGATGTAATATTATTAAGATGGAAGCACTACCCAAAGTGAACTACAAATTCAATGCAATCCCATCAAAATCCCAGTGAGATTTTTTGCAGAAATAGAAAAACCCATTCTAAAATTCACATGGAATCTCAAGGGATCCTGAATAGCCAAACAGTCTTGAAAAAGAAGAACAAAGTTGCAGGGCTCACACTTCCTTATTTTAAAGTTTACTACAAAGCTGCAGTATGCAAAACAATGTGGTATTGGTGGTGCACGCCTGTAATCCTAGCACTCTGGGAGGCTGAGGTGGGAGGATCGCGCAAGGTGAGGAATTCAAAACCAGCCTGAGCAAGAGCGAGACCCTGTCTCTACTATAAATAGAAATAAATTAATTGGCCAAGTAAAAATATATAGAAAAAATGAGCCGGGCATGGAGGCACATGCCTGTAGTCCCAGCTGCTAGGAAGGCTGAGGCAGCAGGATCGCTTGAGCCCAGGAGTTTGAGGTTGCTGTGAGCCAGGCTGACACCACGACACTCTAGCCAGGGCAACAGAGAGAGACTTTGTCTCAAAAAAATCCCCCCAAAACAAAAACAAAAACCCCATAATGTGGTATTGGCATGAAGCAAGATATAGAAACCAATGGAATGAACTAGAGAGCCCCGAGATAGACGCTTGCATACATGGCCAAATGGCTTTTCACGAGGGTGCCAAGGCCATTCTGTGGGGAAAGGATCATCTTTTCCACAAATGGTGTTGAGAAAATTGGATATCCATGAAGTTGAACTTTTACCTAACACCACCTACAAAAATTAACTGAAAATTCATCAAAGACCTAAATGTAGAGCTAAAACTATAAAAAATCTTAGAAGAAAACATAGGGTGAAAACTTCATGTCATTGGATTTGGCAATGATTTCTTGGCTATGACACCAAAAGCATGGGCAACAAAAGAAAAATAGATAAATTGTACCTCATGAAAAGTAAAAACTTTTGTGCATTAAAGGGCATTATCAAGATAGTGAAAAGATCACCTATAGAATGGGAGAAAATATTTGAAAATCATATATCTGAAAAGGGATTAATATCCAGAATATATAAAGAACTACTATAACTCAACAGCAACCCCAAACTCCCAAACATCCCAATTAAAAAATGGGCAAAGGATTTGCATAGACATTTCTCCAAAGAAGATAAACAAATGGCCCATAAGCACATGAAAAGATGCTAAACATTGCTAATCATTAGGGAAATGCAAATCAAAACTCTAGTGATATACCAACTCACACCCATTAAGATGGCTAACAAAACAAAACCAGAAAACAGGTGTTTTTGAGGATGTAGAGAAATTGGAACTCGTGGGCATTGCTGGTGGGAATATAAAATGGTACAGTCACAGTGGAAAATGATATGGTGGTTCCTCAAAGAACAGGGAATCACCATTTGATCCAGCAATTCCACTTCTGGGTATATACCTAAAAGAACTGAAAGCAGGGATTAGAACAGATACTTATATACCCACATTCATAGCAGCATTATTCATAATAGGCAAAAGAAGGAAGCAACCTAAGTGTTCATAGATGGATGAATGAAGAAGCAAAATGTGGTATATCTATAGAGCAGAATATTATTCAGTCTTAAAAGGAATGAAATTCTGATACGTGCTACAATGTGGATGGACCTTGAAGACATTATGCTAAGAGAAGTAAGCCAGACAAAAAGGGACAAATATTGTATGTTTCCACTTGTATGAGAGATACTTAGAATAATCAAACACATAGAGACAGAAAGTAGAATGGTGGTTACTGGGGGCTGGGGTGGGGAGTGGGTAGTTATTGTTTAAGGGGTACACAGGCATAGTATGGTAGGATGAAAAGTTCTGGAAATGGATAGTGGTGATGGTTGCACGATGTGAATGTACTTAATGCCACTGACCTGTACACTGAAAATGGCTAAAATGTAGGTCTTATGTATTGTATATTTTACCACACACACACAAATGTTAACAGAAAAACAAAACCACAATGTTATGCAAAGTCACACAATAAATGTGAGACCCAGGGAAAAAACTAAGTATATCTGATTCACAGCCCGAGCTCTTAACCACTTTGCAATTCTGTTTACTCTAGTGGTCGCTTAATTGATATTCTGCCTCCTGGACTTTTATCCATTTTGCACACCGTTGGCAGAGTAATTCGCCAGGAAGATGGAGGAAGAAGCGAGGGGTCACTCACGTTCCACGGTCAGCCTGAAGATGTCACTTCGGTAGTGACTGACTGGGTTGGAGACCTCACACTGATACTCCCCGGCATCCCCCCTCTTGACAGGGTTTATGCTGAGACTGATGTTGCCCTGGGTCAGCTGCATCCTCTCTGTCACCTGCAGACTTTGGTTGTTGAAGATCCACCGGATGGAGATTCCAGTATCATTTGTGTGGCAGGTCAGGACCACAGAGTCCTTGTCTTCTGTGACTGTGCTGCTGCTGGCGTGGATGGAGGGCTGTGCCACTGGCTGTGGCTCTGTGGACAAGCAGAGGACTGAGAGTGGCCTGGGCCTGGGGCCATGCCCCTTCCTCAGAGGTCTCAGCCAGCTGTCAGGACCCACAGGGAGCTGTGCAAAGGTGACCACCCAGGGGACAGCCGTGACCCTCTGTAGAAGGTCAAGTGTGTTTGTTCAGGAGATGATCTGTAAGGAGAGGGCGGCACCTCCCCTCTGACACCAGGATAACCCCTGACTTCTCCCCTGGACATCTCTGTGGCATCTGCACCGGGACCCTTTTCTCAGCACACATGTCCTGCAGCCTCATCGTCAGGTGTGATGTTTCTCCCATCAACTTTGTGACCTTTTCTTAGAGCTTCCTGGGATCAGGCCCCTTCCTAGTGCTGTCGCTCTACACACAAAAGAGGTGCTTTCTTCCACTAAATCATTTATTAGGAATGAAGAAGGCCCAGCCTGTCTTCATGAACTTGTATCTGAACATGTATGTCCCAACCTCAAGGATTTCTCAATGTGAAGAGGACTTTCACTTCCTGGTCTGTGGACTGCTGTTAATAAAAGGCTGAGACTCTTACATTCTCTGCAGATATAAATTTTTGGTGCTGCTACTTTGGCCCCTGCAGAGACTCACAGGTGGATTTTTCTGTTTTTCCATGGGAGTGTCACTCGCTGTTCTCTGTGGTGCATGATAGGTGCTGTGTCTACAGCTTTATGTAGTTGGTGACTTCAGAGCCAGGACACAGGTCAAGAGTCTGCCCTGAGGCTCTCTATCTTCCCATTTCCCTGCAGCTTCACCAGGGGAAGGCTCTGGCAGCACAATGTAGCCAGATTCAGGCCAGGCCATCCGGACACCTTCTGCACATGGCCTGTCCCAGCCCGGATGGAGTCAGAGCAGGGCCGGTCACCAGGCCAGCTGGGAGCAGAGCAGGGAGCAGAGCTCCGAGATGCTCACCCCTCCTCTGAGGGGGTTTCATCTTCTTATATGGGGAAAAATAATCTGAGCCTATTACAAAACCTCCTATGTTCCTTGTAGCTCATGGAGTAGGCAAAAAAAAAAAAAAAAAAGCAAAGAAGTTACAGACAGGGACATGATAGTGAAAGAAAGAAGCCAATTGACCTTGAGGACCCTTCCTCTCCCCCCTCTGTGAAGCCCCTCCCACTAGATGGGGTTGTCTGGGGCTGAGGGAACCCCCTCCCCACATTCCAGGCTGGACCCAAGATCAGGTGTGCAAAATCAGAGAAGCCAGTGGAGGAGACAGTCTGCAGAGACGGAGGGTTCGGGAGGGTAACCTGGGACTTGTTTGTGCCCAGGACAGGTGGGGAAAGAAAACTTCTTTATGGCTCTTCTCTGAACACCAGACATAGCCCATGCCAAAACTTAATGCCAATCCTCCAGGGATTCACTTACCAGAAACTGTGATATTCTTGACTGTGGTCCTATTGCGGCCAGTTGCAGAGTTGTGGGCGACACAGGCATAGGATCCGCTATTATTCACAGTGACATTGGGGATGAAGAGCTCTTGTGTGGGTGGCTGGAGACTCCCATTGATAAGCCAAGAATACTGTGCAGGCGGGTTAGAGGCCGCGTGGCAGGTAAGGTTGAGGTTTGCACCTGGACGGTAATAGGAGTCTGGGGGGGAAATGGTGGGAACGTCGGGGCCATCTGGACAAAGAGAATAAAGCCACATGTGATGTCATCAGAGGAAAGGGGAAGCTCCAGGTCTGTAGAAGGGTCACAGTGTCCCTCTGAATCCTGTCACAATCTTGTTTAAAAAGTAACAACCTGGCTGTGTGGCAGCTCACAGCGGGAATCCCAGTGCTTTTGGAGGCTAGGGTGGGAAGCCAGGAATTCAAGAGCAGCCTGGGTATCATAGGGAGACCCTGTCTGTACAGGAAATTAACAAAAAACTAACTGGGCTGGGTGATCCATGCCTGTAGCTTTAGGTACTCAGGAGACTGAGGCAGGAGGATCACTTGAGCCCAGAAGTTCGAGGTGATAGTGAACTGTGATCCCACCAGCGTACTCCAGCCTGAGCAACAGAATGAGACCCTATCTCTCTTTAAAAAAAAAATCACAACCAAACCTGTGTCTGAGATATTGAGACACTGACCTGTTTCTCTCATCACAGGTTCTTGACCATGAGCATCTCAAGACAGGAGCGCCCCTCCCTCCTACTCTTGGTCAAGGCTGGGCCTGCCTGGGTTTGCCTGGGGCAGGAATCTTGGCCAGCCTGGGTGTCCAGGGGTGAGGGTCTGTGTACTTGGACCCCACAGGGACTGAATGGCCTTGTCTCTGGCCAGGTGAATTTGGGCTGCAGCCTGGGCTGTGGAGGAACAGAAAATACTCACAGAGCACATTCAGGTTGACTGGGTCACTGCGGCTGCCACTCACTGGGTTCCAGTTTTCACACTGATAGGATCCTGTGTCATTCCTTGTGATATTGAGTAAAATGAGGGTCCTGTTGTCCAGGGACATCACCAGCCTGTCACTGTCTTGGAGCCTCTGGCCGTCTTTCCACCACAGGTAGGTGGTGTCCTGAGTCTCAGGTTCACAGGTTAATGCTACGGAGTCCTCATCCTCCACGGGGCTGGAGCTGTTGCTTGTGATGGAGGGTTTGGGTAACTCCGCTGTGCAGATAACAGAGAGAAGGTTGCCCTGGGTGCTACCTTTAATTCCTCTAAAATCATCCCTTAATCAGGGTTGGCATCTCTGACCTCTCAGCCAACCTGAGTGATTAAAAGACCAAGGCAGGTGCGTGTGTCACGAGACAGACGCAGGACGATCTGAGGGTCAGAGAACGTGAGGCCACCTGCTCTGTGTCTGGGAGATGCACAGACTTTCTCACCTGAGCAGCAGCAGTGGGTGGTGGACAGACACAGGACCCGGAGCCAGAGTGCCCCTCCACCCCCACCCTGGCGCCTCTCCTGGTCCTTCCCTGACTGCCCGACTGACCCTGTGGTCCTCACCTGGAATGTGCGGGCGTTAGGTCCCCTCTAGCTTCATAGTCCCACTTTGCCCCCCTAGGTGTGTTTCTGTGAGGCTGTCCTCAGATATCCCAGAGATGGGTACTGAGGGGACTTCCCATTGTCCTTAGACCCTGAGGTTACTGGGCAGCCTGGCCTGGGACTGGGTGTTTGAGCACAAATAATGCAGGGAGAGCAGGAGCCAGCCTGGGGACCAGCTCAGCAGTCAGGCTGTGGGGCCACGGGTTGGGGCAGTGTTTCCCAGCTGCTTGATGGTGACTGACATGAGCCAGTGACTCCTAAAAGGTAGAGCAGAGTCCAAGGAATGTTCTAGAAAAGAGTGAGGGGTCAGGTAGGAGCTGGTGGCTTTGAAGCAGAGCCATGTTTCCTGCCCTTGGTCCTTAATGTCCCTTCTCTCTGCACAGGGCATATGAGGACTCTGTGTGGATCATTCCAGAAATATACATTGACATATGCAAATGCAAAACTGACTGGTGCAAAGGGGGGAGCACAAACATGCTGGAATCTGGCCTCATGGACCTCGTGTGTTGGGCAGATGGGATAGGAATATGAAAAGTCAAGTTTCTTCCATATCTCTATAGTATTATTAGTACTCAGGATCTAAGACCAATTGCTGGGAGGAATATTTCTGTAGGGAGCATGATGAGGTCTTGGACCAAGCTCTGAAGTCCAGCAGGTCACATTATGCTCAAAGGAAGATGCTGAAGTCGGTTTGGAATCAGTGACTCCCTGGGTAGAGAGAGACGTGTGAGCCCTGTTACGATGACAGAACTAGTCAGAGGGAAGTGTGAGGTGTCTCAATAATAACAGAAGAATGTTACCAAATTAGGAGAAGGATATGTGTGATGGTAATAAATTTAGAAAGAGCTTCAGGGCCATTATTCCTGGTTAGAGTTAGCCAACATGGGGAGGAGCCCAACAAGGCATGGGAAATGTGTTCTTCCTTTCTCTTGACCTCAGGAAGCACAACTAGGGTTTGATCAAATTTGTCCAAACTGGGCAGACTCTAACTGAGATGCCCTGGCTCGTGCCTCTCACCATCTGAGGGACCCCACCTTCTGGTAACCATGTCATCTGGAGGGACACAGGTGCCTGTTGAGCAGGCTGTCACCCCTCAGACAGCACCTGTCTGGCCAGCTCCACCTGGGAAGGTCCTGGGAACCATGGAGGACGTGAGCCCAGGCCAGGATGAGGCAGGAGTCAGGAGTCAGTGGGTGAAATGAGCCTGTGGCTTTGAGGGCTGCAGACCTGTCCTGCTCCTCTGACCCCTGGTCAGACAGTGTACAAAATACATGAATGAGGTGCCTGTTCTTGTCCTATGGCCTGTCCATGTGTCGATCTCATAGAGAGAAAGAGCCCTGGGTGGGGACATGGTGTAAGCTCATTTTCCCCAGACCTGGGGACATTCGCTCATGATGCAGCCTGGCAGGGGCGGCTGCTCCCACTGATTTCTGTGCCTTTACTATTGCCTAAGAGGTGGGCCTGGCCACAGGGTTAGTGGGAAGGGACCATCACAGGCAACTGTTGTTGGTGGAAGTGTCAGAGGAAAGCTTTAAGGTGGAGGAAGCTGTGAAGGGCATGCATAGTGACAGCTGGAATGAAGGGGAAGGAAGATGAGGGACACGGAGGAGCAGAAAGAGCCAGACACGCCATGGCAGTGAGCATGGGGGTTCCAGGGACTTCAGAGATCCCAGAAACACCCACAGCCGGAAAGCCCCTGAGTCACATGAGACAGATTCCTGATGGCTTTAGGGACAGGGGTCAGAGGGATGGAGCTTGGGGCTCAGCCCCTGAGGGGACAGGGAACAGGCAGGGTAAGAACCTCCTAGGATCCTGCATCCAGGATCCAGTCTCTGAAGAAGTCATGGGTGGATCATTCATTCATTCATTCCTGCCCTCCTTCATCAGAGAACTACTGAGATTATGTCACATGTCAGACTTTGTGCTGGAACAGGGTGTGAGTGGGGAGAGAGAAAGCTACGTCCTTTCCTGTACCTTCCGTGGCTGTGAAATGCACACACCAGGAAGCACCTGGTTTAGAGTCCAGTGTGGGGTGTGTGTGGCTGAGGGGAGGCCTGGGCATTCCTGACGCTGACTCTGCTTGTTGAGGCAGGTGATTTAGTTCTAGAGTGAAACTGACTAATTCTCCATTTGCTCCTCACTCCCCAGACCAGAATCCCCCCTCTGAGCTGCAGATGCAGCTGATCCCACCACTGGTGTTGGGGTCCCTGGATGCCTAATAAGGCCCTGGAGTTGAGGGAGGTTGAGGCTGTGACTGCAGACAGGCCTCCTGTGACTCTGATCTTCAGTCATGTTCTGTGTGACCCTAATTCAATGATTCTGTTGCTCTGTTCCTCAGTTTCCCCTCAGTAAAATAGGATACATGGTAATTGGTCTCTGGCTTTCTTGTCTGTGAATTAACCTTAAAATATTCACAATTACCTGACCTAAGCTTCATGCAGAGGAGCTGCCCAAATAAACAGCATCGATTGTTGCTGCGTCCATGATAGCCTCCCGGCCTGATCCCTGGTGGACAGGAGCTTCCAGGAGTGTCCTCTGTCCTCTGTTCCTTCCCTGAGTACACCGACTTCCCTGAGGTCTCTTAGGTCCCCCAGGGCAGTGAGCTGATGGCCTGAGGAAACTGTCCTTCAGTGCCATCCACACTGAGTCTCAGGTGACTTTCGGGGCATCGTGATTGCCCAGATGAGGCCGTGGGGTCAGGCCCTGGCTGGTGACCAGCTCCAGGAGCCATGGCCCATGGACAGCTGGTAATTTGTGGCCCCCTGTCAAGAGGCCAAAACCCAGCCCTGACCATGGGCTCCTTCAGGTCACCTGGACTCAGGAGCCCTGGGCCTGAGCTTCTCTGTGAGGATCCCAGGGGGCCCCTCAGGCCAGGCCCTGACCAGGTCCTACAGGATCCTTCTCCGGGCCATGTCCATGGGGAGGGCACAGGTTGCTGAACTGAGACTGGTCCCCTGCTGAGTTGCCTGTCACACTAGTCCTTCCTCTACAGGGAATGTCTGCAGGGTCTGGACGCAGGAAAGGATTCTGATCATCTGGCGTTTGTCTCCCCCATGTGTGTCCTGCACTAAGTGCCCAAACCCCACCATGGGACATGACGCAGAGGGGGAGGCAGGCTCAGTCCAGGCCTGAGAAGTCCGTGTGGGTGAAGTAGAACTGAACACCCGCCCCCCCACACTGAACACCCAGAGGTCACTCACCGTACACGCGGAGCAGTGCAGTTACTTCTTCATTCTCTAGATTTGCATTTATAACCTGTAGGGTGTAGTATCCTGTGTCATTCAGGGTGACGTTCTGGAACAGCAGGGATCCATTGGGGTAAATTGTCTCTCGACCACTGTATGCAGGCCCCGTGCTGTTTTTTTGAGTGCCTACTATATATGATACAATTCTGTAGCTGTTGCCCACCCTGTCCCCTTTGTACCAGCTGTAGCCATAAGGATCCTGTAGCACATTGTGGACGAGTAGAAGAACGTGCTTCCCCTCCACAGCATTGAGCGGCACGGATTCCACAGAGACTTGGGCAGCGGCGGGCGGGTTCCAGAAGGTTAAAAGTGAGACTAGGAAGGAGGAGAGAGAATCAATCCATATTGGGACCTTGGAATTGGGATGGAAAGATAGGCCCTGAGTCCTGAGCAGGTCTCTTCACCCTCAGCCTTGGGGTGTGTGTGACTGTGTGTGTGAGTGTGTGAGTGACTATGCCTGAGTGTGAGTGTGAGCTCTGGGTCAAGGTCAGCAATGTGACCACCATCACTCCAGCGCCTCTGGACTGGCCATATCCCTGCTTGGAATCCTCTTCCCAGGTGTCTGCACGGCTCACCCCCCCACTGCCCTCAGATCCCTGCTCACACTCAGGGGCATCCTTGGGAGGGACCTTCCCTGGACACATTCTCTAGGGATCCTGGGTCTTCCCTTCCTGACCTTTTCCTTCCTGTTCCCTCAGTGGCTCTTGTCCACAGCTGACCTCACATTCGAGATCTGTCTGCTTGTCTGTCTTCCTCCCACTAGGACATGAGCTGTGTGAGGGCAGGGACGTGTCTGACCTCTGTTGTGCCCCAGAGCCTGGGACAGGCTGCGGACACCTGTGGGTGAGCAAAGGAGTGTTTCCAGGGCCCTCTATGACCTGCTGTTTATTTTACAATGAACATAAAGATAATATCTGACACTGGTGGGTAAGGGCCATGTTTCGTGCTCCTGGTTATGTTTACTTGAAGTGTCACCCTGTTATAATTATGACAATTTTCCAATGTATTACCAATGTAGTGACCACTGATGATTAACCTGGAGAACACAGAGCAATTGAGACTGTCCTGCCCCTTTCCAATTCCAGTTCAATGTTACTTCCCTGCTGTGACCTCCTGTTTTCCTTTGGTGTCCCTTCCTCTCTTCAGGCTCCAACAGAAGTCCTGTGTCCTTCTTACAGCCCCGTCCTCCCCAGAAGACCCTGCCCAGTATCTGTGCTCCCTCTTCCCACCCACCCCCAGGGCATCGTCCCTCTCACCTGTGAGCAGGAGCCCCTGCCAGGGGACTGAGGGGGGCTCCATGGTCCCTGCTGCCTGCTCTGTCCTCTGTGCAGAAGAGCTTCAGCTCCAGGAACGCTCCAAGCACGGCTGCTCCGACGAGTCAGCTCTGCTGTCCTTCCTCCCTCTGTGCTGAGCCTCCTCCCAGGCTCAGAGCTTTGGCTGGTCATGTGTGTCAGGGGCGGGGTCTGTGCCCAGGGCACCTCCCTGTCCCCTCCCCTCTCAATCCTGCCTCCTGTCCCTCCTCCTCCTACCCTCTCTCTGTGTTTTGCTTTTGCAGTCCACACTTTGAGAAGCAAGGCTGATTGGATCCTCTCTCCCCAGCACTGACCTGTGTCTTGGCTTTGGGTCTGTCAGCGCCACACAGAGAGCCCGTGGATCAGACCGGGGTTTATTTCTCTTTGCAACACAGAAAGTCAGCTGGGCTCCAGGTCTTCTGGTTTTCCCTAGTGCGCTGGGGAGGAGGGTGACACCCGGCAGGCTGGTGGCAGGGAAGCCTCTGGGGCCTGAAAGGGCAGCTGATTCTATCTCCAGAGTCTCCATCCTGTCCTCTCTCCCAGAGAGAGAGCCCCAGGTGCAGGAGTGTCAGGAGGGGCTGCACTCCTGGGTGTGGGGGGTGCGGTGTCCCGGGCAGAGAGGACTGAGGTGCAGGGACGGGGGTCTCTGGGGTCCCCTGTCCTTGGGGGAGGGTGTCAGGGAGCCCCTCCCTCTCTGTGTCTGATGGCTGAGCCTTGGCTCAGGCCTGTCCAAGTTCTCCCTGACTGTCCTGAGTGGTCTCTACCCTCTGTCCGGCTCACCTTCCTATGGTCACCCCACCTTCCCCATGGAGGGTGCCAGGAGTGAGTGCACAGGGACCCCTGGCAGAGAAGGGACCTAGAGGCCCCTGGAAGGATCCAGCAGGACACAGCAGGCATGTGGGAAGTACCAGAAGGGTCTACTGGAGCAAGGGATGGAAATCAGACTCCATCTCCACCTCCTCAGCCAAAGCTAGATTTTTCCATGGGGGAATTAATTCCCTCAGTGTTTCGGTGTCCCGATGTCGCCCCCTGGAGGAAAAGACATGTAAGGGCTGCCGCAGAGAGGCTGAGCGGCTTCCAAATGGTGAGAGCTGGACCTGACTCTCTGGGCAGGGGTGGGTGCTGACCCCTGGTGAGAGTGCAGGGTCAGGTCAGCCGGGTCCCATTCACTGTGTCCCCAGGCTGCCCACCTCCATCCAGTGCAGGGTGTAGGGGGCAATGTCCACTCAGCTGAGGGCTTGGATACAATAAAATGGCAGAGGGAAGGTGAATTCTCTCTGTGTCTGTTTGTCTGTGTGTCTGTCTTTCTCTCTCTCTCTCCCTGTGGAGCTGGGACACTTTCTTCTCCTGCCCTTGGATATTAGAACTCCAGGTTCTCAGGCCGGAGAGTCACACCATCGCCTCCCTGGTCCTGAGGCTTTTGGACTTGGCCTGAGTCGTGCTTCCGACTTCCCTGGCTCCCCAGCTTGTCCTGGGTCGGCTTTGCCTCCATAGTCACATAAGCCAATTCCCCTAATAAATCCCCTCTCATATCCGTAACTGTTTCTGTTTCTGTAATTATATTTATAGCGTAGTGTTTCTTATTTCTGGAGAACCTGACTGATACAGGTGCGAAGATAAGTTAATGAGGGAAGAATAATGTTTTCAAATAAATGGTGCTGCAACAACTGGATAACCACCTGCAAAAGCATGAAGTTCTGGAATCTACTTCTCACCATATTCAACAATTAACTCAGAACAGATCAGTGAGTTAAATATAAGAACTAAACCCATAAAATACTCTTAGAAGAAAAAAACATGAGGGTAAATCTTCATGACCTCAGGTGTGTCAATGGATTCTTAGATATGACACAAAAGTATGAACCTCGAAAGGGAAAATAGATAAACTGGGCTTTATCAAGATGAAAGCCTTTTGTGCATCAAAGGATATTATCAACAATGTGAAATGGCCGTCCAAAGAATGAGAGAAAAAATTTGCAAATCATAGATATCATAAAGCTTTCATGTTTAGAACATATGAAGAACTGCACCCACTCAACAACATAAAGAAAAACAACCCAATTTATAAAAATGGGCAAAGGACTTAAGTAGACATTTCTCCAGAGAAGATATGCAAATAGTCAGGAAGCACAGGGAAAGACTCTCAACATCATTAATCATTAGACAAATGCAAATCAAAATCACAAGGACGGCCGAGCACAGTGGCAAGGTGGCTCATGCCTGTAATCCTAGCTCTCTGGGAGGCCGAGGTAGGCGGATCGCTCAAGGTCAGGAGTTCCAAACCAGCCTGAGCAAGAGTGAGACCCAGTCTCTACTAAAAATAGAAATAAATTAATTTGTCAACTAAAACTATATAGAAAATATTAGCCGAGAATGGTGGCACATGCCTGTAGTCCCAGCTCCTCGGGAGGCTGAGGCAGGAGGATCGCTTGAGCCCAGGAGTTTGAGGTTGCTGTGAGCTAGGCTGAGGCCATGGCACTCTAGCCTGGGCAACAGAGTGAGACTCTGTCTCAAAAAAAAAAAAAATCACAATGAGATATCACATCATCACATCATGCCTATAATAATGGCTATAATTCTTTTAAAATGTTAAATAACATAATGTTGGCATTATGTGGAGAATTTAAAATCCTCATGCATCCCTGGTGGGAATATATGAATAAAATAGCACAGCCAATATGGGAAACCGTTTAGCTGTCCCTGGAAGAGCTAAACATGGAGTGATCTTATGAAGCAGCAATTTCACTCCTAGATATATACCCAAAGAATTAAAAACTGGGACTCAGATGAATACTTGCATGGGAATGTTCATTGCATCATTATTCACAATAAGTCAGGTGTGGAAACAACCCAATTGCACATCAGCAGATGAAGGGGTA